AACATCTTTTCCCTCTGACAACCGTGGAGTGGGAACACATGAGGTTTAACGGAATCCTGAGTGGAATGAGAGGTAAACCACAACCCAAGACGGCGTGACGCGAGCTCGCGTCAGGTCAGTCGGGCCGTGCACCTGAATGCCCAGATAGAACTGTTTCGTGGCCACGGAGTCGCTACTAAACTTTGGGTCTCCCCTCTTTTCAGCTTCGGGTAAAGGTTAAAGGTTAAAGTCCTTTTTTTTTCCCCATGAGGGAGAAGTTTGAAACAAATGCAGAAGCCATCATATACAGGCCAGTGCACCATTTCTTGACACCAATCCCCATTGTTGTTTGTTTGAGGTCTCTGCATCCGATTGTAACCCCCGTCAGAGCCGAGGAATAGCTGAATGAGAGATTCTCAAACAGGGGCAGTAATTTGAAGAGTGTGTTTCTAAGTTATTCCAGCTCCCCACAGCTCAGCAGTGGCTGACCCCTTCTCCCCGTCTGTCTGCTAAGAGGCCTACAGGGAGGAATCAGCCAAAATTACCTTTATTGATCCGGAGAGACAGGTGAATACCAAGCAGGTCTCCCTTCCCTTTCGCTCTTCTTGTCTCCCATCACTCCCTCCCCCTGCCCGCCTGCAAGAGCAGAGAATATTAAGAAAAAAACAGGGAGCATTAATTTAAGAGGAACTATCCTAACCCCCCCACCACCACCACCACCACACGTTACTGTGTCAGCCAGTGCAATGATTTAGCGTTCACATTCAGGCTGCTGTGATTGAACCTGCCTACTCGTCGCCCGTGTTTCAGCAGAGGGAAACAGGAATGGCGATGCCGGCTGTTTTTCCGCCTCCAATCCGACGTTGTCTTTTTTTTCCGCCCCGGCATACAAATCACTGTGGCGGTGGAAAAGATACTCCATTAGGTCCGACTCTGAGTTAAATCAATGCGTGACTTATCAAATGAAATAGGGGATTATGAGGTAATCACCTGGCAAACGTTGCTGAAATTGTAATTATCTCCACGGCACACATCTCAGGCAGAGGAGACCAAACTAACTATTTAAGTGGAGGTTGAGATTACGAGGTGTGGAAAAGCACAACAGCTATATATCTTACACAGCGGCGTGAGGAAGTGTGTTTATGTGCTGAGAGAGAACCGGAGCAACTCTGTGGTTTCTCTCCCCAGACAGATAAACACCAATGAAGATGTTCACTCTATTGATAGATTTATGCTACTTGTCTTGAATCTGATTACCGTTACTCAGTCTGGTTGCTGTTTAATCACTCTGCTGTTTATGTGATATCACATTTTCAGCATCCATGAATGGCAGGTGCTACATTATGTACGTTGACATGACTTTTAACCTGCAATAAATTACGCGAAGAGTGGTTAGGCTTTGAAATAAGAAATTAAAAGGAACCCCATTTAAGCTTTGTTGTTTTTGTTTTATTCCTAGTTATCTTTTACCAGGCAACGCATCTCAAATACATATTTAATGAAATGAAGTCACTTTGAAGCAATTTACAACCATGTGTTATGTATCTTGAAACCTAAAATAAAAGTTATCTAACCCAATACTTAATATTCTGTGTCTATTTATGTGCCTTAAAAATACAGATGAGGAACCTTACAAATCACTCACATCTATTATTTATGTGGAGTTTGAATGGTCAACATCCTATAATTAAAAATGGATGCTTACTGACAAAGTACAATACTGCTGCCAGGTGGAAATACTGCAGAGTTACATCACTGGCCCCAAAGCCCAATGAATTCTCATTTTTGACCATCTTGCCCCATCTGTTGGTCTGAAGGAATCATTGTGCTCAACTAATTGAAGGGAAATACAATAAATCTGATACGGGCCCTGTCAGGATTTTGAAGAGGAAAAAGAAGAATATGGGAGTTTTAACTCTGAAATAAAGCCTGAACTCCTAAACAATCTCCAATGACATCCATTGCAAACATCATTAAATGTGGAGAAGAGTAGTACTTACTGTTAATCATCCATCGGTGCATGTAGATAATCATTTTTAATCATAAAATCAGTTTTCAGAAACTCTTTGGCAAACAAAGCAGCATTTCCTGTGTGCATGCATGAACTGGTACACAAGCAGAAGCACACTGCCCCCTATTAGCAAACAGCGGAAGTACGTCTAAAAACACCCACAAATGGACTAAAAGTATTCTGGCAACCACAGCTCAGACCCACGGACAAGCAGAGGTGCGACTGTGAGAAGCTGGTGCAGTAGGTTCAGTCCCAGCTTGGCTCACTTTGTCACACTTTGTCACCTCTTTTGGTGTCTGTGATCACACCACGAGCCCTGTCAGAGTTCGCGGGACAGGCCCGCAGTCACACTCTACAAATGAGCGTTCATTACAAGATTGCAAAGTGGAAAATCTTTGACTTCTATTAGGCACAGTTAAGAATATTAGATTTTGAGAAGCACCAAATTATGAAGTAATTTACTGAAATTGCTTTGAACTTTTACTACGGCCATCCAAGGTATATCTTAGGTAGACAGACTGGACTAATGGAGTGTTGATATCTATACTATTTGCAGAAAACTGACTATAACTTATTATAACAAGATAGTGCATCTTCTCTTTTTTTTGTGTGTATCGGCAGGCAAAGAGAGGGTGCATGGGGGGGGTTGCCACATGCCAGTGCAGAGGTCAACCAGGGGACCGAACAGAGCGTTTAACCCCTCGGGTGTGTATTCCTCACGCCCAACTTGGCACCCGCTCCTGGGAAAGCATGTGTCTGAAAGAGTTAGAAGTGTGCAAAGTTCACCAAAGTTCACAAAGTAATGTCTGGATAGAACAACACGTAAAGCCGAAAAAAATAAATGTAATTTATGAATGCTTAGTTTACACGCTTGTGTATTTCATACTCATTCACAAACACATTTTATCCCAGAAACGTCTCAGTAGAGCTATTTTGTAACTCTATATTTCTTTCTCAGCTATGTTCTCCTCTTCAGCAATCCCCCATTACATGTATATAACATGTGTATCAACTACCACTAAACAAGGGAAAGCATGTCGATGTAGATGAACCCTCTGATAAGAAATGTCCGGTGCTCCAGTTGACCTAACGTTTGTGCAGTAAAAGCTGTGAGTTCATCAGACGGGGCATCAGCCCTCGGCTGGTTTTATATTTAACTCTGGAAGTGAGCAAATTTCACACCCAAGTAACTGACACTCCTGCAACCACCGGCCCTGACACCTAAGCCTGGGAACGTCTCGACCATACATAGGCCGGGGTCACAGAGGTTATCAGAGTGTCATCGCCAACTGCTAATTCAGGTCTGCGGATGAATATTCAATCTGATTAAGATGCCCTGTAGCAATCCTAACCCACCGCCTGCTCTGGAAAAAACCCGCAATGTTGTTTAATGCTTTACACCTTTAGGCGAGGCTAATTTTATTTGCACACAGCACGTTTCAACAAAAAGACAATTCAACGTGCTTCACAGAAAAAAACAGTAAAACCATTAAAACATCAAGCAAAATTATAATGAAATAAAAAAAAACATTAAACAGACATTAAAAAATAAAGAAGAATAAAATGTGTAGCGCAGTTTATGATATAAACAGTAAAAAAATCCTCGTCATCTTTGAATCTGGATTAATTAACTGAAAAGCTGCAGTTCGTTGTAGAGACGTGGAGCAGAAAAACTAAACGCTGCTTCTCAATGTTTGGTTCTGACTCCGGGAACAGAAAGGACTCCCGTCCCAGACGACACGTGGGGTCGGGATGGTTTGTACGGTAGCAGCAGGTCAGACATGTTTACCTTTACTGTTTAGTACACCTGAGTTTTCGTATTTTGTTGCGAAAACGAAAAATGTGAACAAAGATTGTTAAATCATACACAAGGGTCTTCATGTAGAGTCCTGTGGAGGTCAGCCGTCGTGGCAGTGCAGCCCCCCTGGTGTAGCCCAGGGCCCCCATGTTTTAGTGTTAATAAGGCGAGTTCTTTGCACCCAGCAAAGCACCCAAAGGTGATCCAATGGGTTCCCACAGAAAGGATTGAAAGGTTGGCCCTGGGCTCAAAGAGTTAAATTCATGTTAGGAAGTTCTACAAACTACATTTATCATATAGAAGCAACATGTTTCCTTCATCTAGCATGAACTTTGATGTAAGAGCACCATGATTATCTGCAGAATGCATTGACTGCTCATAGATAATTGTGGTTATCAGTCCAACTGAATTACCTTAATACATCTACGTCCTTACTTTACATCTCCACTGAAATTGCAGAAGATGACAAATGCGTAATATACATCATTGCAAGTCAGAGTCCATTTACATTTGTGTTCCAACAACTTCATATCTATACTATTTTCATAGTGCTGCATTGCATTAAAGTATTGTTTTTACATAAGCAGATTGCCATAGGTTGGATCACATGGTTTATTGTTATTAAACCAACTGGAAATGTGTTCTCCTTGTTTCTAGAATATAACTGACTCCATTTAAACCTGATTGTCACACTCAGCTGTCACTTTGTTTTTGTTAATGTTGGACATGACGCAGGCCTCCTTCCTTCAGTCCTCCTTGAGTTCCACATTGAAACGCTTCATCAACCTATTCATTCCATCACGCTCTCTCCTGAGTGAAGGAGAGAAAACGTTTTACGGGGTGGCAATAGTCTTTTTGCAAACCCACAGATCCTCTGTCCTGATGTAGAATGTCAACTCGAAAGCACTTGAAATACTGCGACCCTGCCATAGATTTTTGTGTAACGGAGTCTGTCTGTCCTTTGAATATCTCAAGAGCGGATCTTTATGCTCTGCAGAAACGTCGTCACCTTCCATCTGTTGACACTGACATTTCAACACTTCAGGCCACACTGCAGGAAATGGAGCGTTTACAGCCGGGAGGGAAAAGAGCCGCTCCACAAACAAAAGACATGAAGTAATTTGGACGTCTCATTGTCTGGTTTTCAATCAGCAAAGACAGAAAAGAAAAACTGGATTTAATAATTATTTAGTTATTATTTATTTGGTTTTGACAGTACACGTGTAACTTTCTCCAGAACAAAGCCTCAATCACCTAAATTATTAAACAGACAACGACATTCATTGAATGCACTTTATTGCAGTTTTTTTCTTATATAAAAGTACAAAAGAGGTAGAAGTGTTAAAAGAATAACTTAAGCATTCACATTCTTGTTTGGTAAATACGTGAGAAAGTATATTTACATATATATATATATATATACACAGTAATAAGTTAAAAGAAATATATTAATAGATTATACAGCATTGGGTCTTTAAAGCCTCGAGAGAGAGAGAGAGAGACGCGCTTAGTTCAACTCCTTCTCCGTCTCCTCCTCTTCATCGTCGCTGTCTTCGTCGCTGCTGGAGTCCCCGTACGGGGAGATGGTCGCTTGGACCGGATAGTTGCGCAGGAGCATCACGGCATCCTGGTACAGATAATCGAAACATCGCGATTTGGGCCAGAACAACCTTTAAAAAACAAAAACAAAAAAACAACAACAATGAAGACACATACTCCCGAAGAAATAACCCGCATAATAAAATGACTCGAAATGATCACTCAATCAACCAAACTGTACTTACTTCACCGGGTGAACGACCTGAGGGACTTTGTGGTGTTGTGGAGCCGAAATGTCTCCGTCGTTGCAGTGACCCTAAAAGGTAAAACGACGAGCTTGTTAAGCTTACAAAGCGAAGGTTTGACACTGAAATAAATGCGCGTGGGTGTCATTTAAATCCACCGAACTCACAATGCGTGCCCCGCGTGTGTCCTTTGTTCCGATCCACGGTCTCCACCAAGGACCCGGCTGCTGAGGCGCGTCGCCTCCAGGACAGGCAGAAGGTAATCCGCTGCTGCTGTTGTTGGAAGTGTCCATGGTTCCGTGTGGTCCAGCGTTAAGTTCCCCAGAGGATGTGGGACTGAGGTTAGGAAGCGCCTATTTATCGGGGTCCTGGAAGCGGGGGGCCAAATTGCTCTTTGACGCGTCCACAAGTGTGTCCATGCGCCACGGTGTCCAGGTGCGAGGTCACACTTCAGCAAACAGCGACCATATGGTTACTTTCTTTCCTAATGTTGAATGTGGATCAGCTAAGCAGTAGTAGCAACAACAATTGGAGGGAATATTGAAATGATGTGTTAATTAAAGCACACAATCTTAATCTAACTAACTACTCAGGTTCCCCACGTGACGCGTTTGCGCACAATCCAAAGTCTTCGTTTAACTCTCACCGTCCTCGCGGTGTAATGTGTAATGCAACTCGACATTTTCATCACGTTTTAGGTCTGTCAGTTTAATTCTTGTCCTCAAAAGGCGATTCTACAAACTCTTCAACCTCTTCACCCTTTCAGTTATCTGCGTCTGTTTAGCCATTTGTGCGCGAGGTGCGAAGAAACACGTGCCCTGTTGTCATTGCCCGCTGGGTCGATGATGGAAGAAGGCTCGTGCGCAGAGTGTGTGTGTGTGTGTGTGTGGGGGGGGGGGGGGGGTGTTGACACGCGTCAGCTTTTCATGGAGATGTGGCAAGCGTGAGGTGGGGTAGGAACTACCCCAATAATCTATGTTTTTAACTAGGGGAAAAAGAAAGAAACTAAAGGAAACCAGCAACGCCACCCTGGGAGAAATCACCCAGGGAAAAGAAAGAAATCTATGAATAAGGTAAATTACTAAATCTAAACAAAAGGACAACACAAGTTCGTTACACTGAGCAGGCGAGAGACGTGTTTCCAAAAGCATATACAACAGTTTATTGGGCACAATTCAAATCTAAAAAAATTATCCTATTTGTATAAATTATCATGTATTCCAGGGCTGGGGCATTTGTGCTCAAGGTGAGTGAGGGGTGAAAGTATAAACTTAAAATGGGAGCACCACAATCCAAAATTAACACTCCAAACACACAAGGGCAAAGCAAAACAAAGGAGGGGAGTGAATAAGACACTACACACGAAGGGACACCATCACCAAACAGGATCACCAGTGAGGCCCTCAGCACCTGGAATCACAAAGATGGGCAGTTAATGGGAGACTGAAAATAAATTCAACAACAATAGAGATCCAATACAAATCAAAAAGAAAGGAAAATATCAAAACAGGTTACAGTTTGAACTCAAAGAACTAAACCATCAAATAATCAAAAATAGCTACAAAAATAATAAAGAAAAATCTCCCTTGCCATCCACCTCCTATTTCAGGCAGCTAAACATGAAAACATAATACAATAGGCATAAAAATGCGGACAACGGGATTTCCACACCCGAACGCAGCAGCAGGCAAGGTCCGTAAAAAGTGTGGGTTTTATCCCCACACAAAGCAGCAGCAGTCCAAAACGGGTCAGGGCAGTCGGGACCCCAGCGTGGCATAGCTCCGGGACAAAACGAGCAAACACGCAGTCCAAGTCACAATACTGCGAGTGGGCGGAGCCACTGGAAAAGCAGTCATCCTGCTACAATCTACCCCCACTCTTTGTATCGCCGTCCCGACGATAAACTAAATGCGTGCTTAACTCCAGGGTCTAAAGAGTGCAGTGACTAAGTGTGATACGGGGCGTTCGGAAATTGCAGCCCCCGATGCCAAGTCCCCCACTGGCCTTGGAATGCGGTGGACATTAGGATGGTGGCCAGCAGTTGACCGCGTTGACCTCCGGGGTGGCAAGTTAATGGGGTCAGAGGAGCTGGTGAACGGAGCAACTGGGGATGCAGATGGCAGGTCTGGATTCAGAACAGGGGGCACTGATGGACCTGGCACAGTGGGATCCATGTTAGGTCGATGGTGTAGTTGTTGAGGAACGGTTTCAGTCTCGGCCCGTGCCCGAGTGGCTGGAAAGGTGGGGAGGGGAGCGGTCCTAGGGACCAGGAACAACAAGTCACCATCACAGGAGGACTCAGAGACTGGGCTGTCAGGGGGCGGTGCATGACTGGCCACCGCATGGTCAGGGGGCTCTGCTCCAACCACCGCCTTCAACAAGGTACGGTGAACATGCTTTACTTTAGACAGATCATCCTTTGGTGCTTTGAGGACTGAATACACTGTCGAGCTCCAGCGGTCTTTCATCTTGTGACGCCCCCTGGTACTCAAGTCGCGCAGGAAGACTGACTGACCTTCTTTCAGTGGTTCACCTCTGAGGTGCTGATCATGCGCCGTCTTTCTGCGCTCCGCTGCAGTCTTCATGCATTCTCTTGCACCATCAAACGCAATCTGCAACCGGGCCTGATGCTCTTGGATCCATTCATGAACACCTCCACTGACAGGGTCCTGGACTCTGGCCAACAGGAAATCGATGGGGAGTCTGGGCTCCTGACCAAACATTAAAAAGAATGGTGATTCGCCAGTGGTTTGATGGGGAGTGGTGTTGTAAGAATAAAGGACTTGTGGGAGGCAAGAGGTCCAGTCTCTTTTTCGGGATGGAGGCAGTGTGCGGAGGAGGTTATGGAGAGTTCGATTAAATCTTTCACACTGACCATTGCCGGCTGGGTGATATGGAGTGGTGCGAGATTTTTGGATGCCATAAAGACTGCAAAGTTGCTGGATAAGTGCACTCTCGAAGTTGCGTCCCTGATCCGAATGTATCCTTGCAGGAACCCCAAACTTCGAAAACCACTCCACCACCAAAACATGGGCTACAGTAGAAGCATGTTGATCACGGGTGGGGATGGCGAGCGTATATTTACTGAAGATGTCTGTCATCACCAAGACATTTTCCATGCCATTTTGAGCGGGCTCCAGCAGGGTGTAATCAATGGCGAGGATCTCATTTGGTCTTGCTGCAAAAAGGTGTCCCATGGGATTCCTGGCAGCAGGCTGACGGTCCTTGGCAACTTGACACCGCTCACAAGCTTGGCACCACTGTGCGACCTTTGTTGACATACCCGGCCAATAACACCTGGATCGTAGAAGAGCGAGGGTCCGTTCCACACCCTGATGGCCATGTTCTTGGTGAACCTGTGTCAACACTTCAGGAACTAAAACTGCAGGCAGGAGCAGCTGGAGGATAGGCTCAGCTCCATCAGGGCGCAAGGTCTGCCGATACAGGATGTCGCCCCGCTTAACCAGCCGGCCCCATTGACGCAGCAGGATCAATGCGGGAGGTGAGAGCTCTTGGCGCTCTGCGTAACTGGGACGCCGTCCTTCCTCCCAGTACCTCTGGACTTCCCGAATGACCGAATCAGCCTGCTGCAGGTTGCGGATGTCGTCAGGGGTTCTCTCAGGTAAAACAGTCACAGTTGCTTGTGTCACGACCGTTTTATTCACTTTCAGGACCTGCTGGAGTGGTTCCGGGAGTGGTGTGCCAGGGAGCATGGCCGTCATATCTAATGGGCCAGGCGGATGCTGACGGGACAAAGCATCCGCATTTCGGTTGCTTCTGCCGGAACGGTACTTGATCTCGAAGTCGAAAGAGGCCAACTGAGCTGCCCAGCGCTGTTCCGTGACGCCAAGCTTAGCAGTCGCCAAATGACTGAGTGGATTATTGTCCGTGTAGACTATGCAGCGGTGGCCCAACAGATACTCTCGGAACTTTTCGGTCATAGCCCACTTTAGGGCTAAAAACTCCAGCTTCATGGAACTATAGTTTGCCATATTACGCTCGGTGGGCTTCAGTCCGCGGCTGGCATAAGCTATGGGCCTCACCTTGCCGTTTTGCTCTTGTGATAACACTGCACCCAACCCACCATAACTGGCGTCAACCTCGAGGATGAAGGGTAGTGAAAAGTCTGCGTAAGCAAGCACAGGGGCATTAGTGAGCTTGGTCTTAAGTGTCTCAAAACAGTCTTTAAGCTCCTCTTTCCAGTGCTCAGGGCTCAGCTGTGGGGGCCGCTGGACCCGTCTAGACTTTGTGCCTCCAAGCTCAGCAATCAGTCGGTGGAGGGGGGCTGCCAGCGTTGCAAAGCCCTCCACGAAGCGGCGATAGTAGCTTGCGAAACCCAGGAAAGACCGAAGCTCAGAGACCGTCTGGGGAGGCTGCCACTTTGCCACGGCCTCTATTTTGGATGGGTCCGTGGCGACACCGTTGGCCGATATAATGTGGCCGAGATACCGCACCTCTGGCTGGAAAAAGGTGCATTTGGAGAGCTTGGCCTTGAGTCTCTCCTGTTTCAGACGGGCTAGTACCACGTCAAGTCGCTGAAGATGCTGCTCTACAGTAGAAGAGAAAACAACAATGTCATCTAGGTATAAAAGCAGAGACAGATCTTGTTCATTGCCAAAGATCCTCTGCATTAATCTTTGAAAAGTGCCAGGTGCATTACAGAGTCCGAATGGCATACGGTTCCACTCAAACAGGCCGAATGGTGTACAAAACGCCGTCTTCGGTCGGTCCTTCTCCGTGACCTCAACCTGGTTGTACCCACTGGCCAGGTCCATGGTAGAGAACCAGCGTGCACCCGTCAAGGCATCCAATGATTCTTCAATGCGTGGCAGCGGGAACACATCTTTCCTGGTCTTGGCATTTAGTTGCCGGTAATCGACACACATACGCAGGCTCCCATCCTTCTTCTTTACAAGCACAATGGGGGAGGCATAGGGGCTACAACTCTCTCTAATTACCTGAGCAGAAAGAAGCTGATTAATGTGGTCTTTGACAGCCTCATAATCAGAAGGGGATACACGCCTGTAGCGTTGCGTGACTGGGGTCTCGTCTAACAGAGGAATGTCGTGAGAGATGAGGTTAGTGCAGCCTAAATCACCGTCATGAGTAGAGAAAATAGGACTGTACTTTCTAAGGAGAGACCTCACCTGACCTTGCTCTTCAGGGGAAAGAGAAGACAGATCTAAACCCTCAATCTGGTCTGGCACGGTAGGTAAGGCGGTGTGAGAAGCTACAATGGCTACAGTGGATGGGACCTCTGCGATTCCTGCAGGGAGGCTGACAACACTCACTTTTTGTAAAGTGCCAAGAACAGTGCGTGGGTACAGCAGTACTTCTATAGAGCCAACGTTTACAATGGGTATGTATGCTGTACCTCTAACTACCCTCACCACAGATGGAGAAGCCAACAAACCTGCAGGTAAACCAGAGTCAAGGGGCTCAAACAATACTGTGCTATCGGTACCCTGCCCTGAGCAAGTAGCTGCGACTATCTGCATCACACCACCTGCAATACGACAGGCACGCCTACCTCTGACCTTTGCCTTCCCAGACAGCTCCTGGGAGGTCTGCGTGGTCACCTGATGGTACTCCTGTAATGCCTGCGTGACAGGTTGTGGGGCCTGCGTGACAGAGGGCAGATTAAACAGGGACAAACCGTGCTGCACAAAGAGCTCTTGATAACATTTCTGGATCACGTTCATTCCCAACACACCAGGGGCCTGAAGAGAAGCATTACCAGGGGGGTCTTTTACCACCAAGATACCACACAGTGAAACTAGTTTACCGCACAACTCAACATCGAGCT